AAATGTAATGAAAAAGCGAGTCAACTCGCAAATCTGACTGAAATGCTTTGATCAGTTCGAAAATATACTGGTATCAATAAAGCATGCCGCAATAATTGAGTGACAGGTAGGCTTATTTGTAGTCAACAAACACATGTCAGGTCCATAAACCCCCAGTGAAGTTGAAGATCCTGTGCTGGTATGTACATACCCGTTCGCCTGGCCTGTTGCCCGTCCATATTATCCAGTGTTTGGTAAATGAAAAGATTTATGCCACACATGAACACCAACCAGCTGGGCACCTCTTCGCCCAGATTTGGGTTGTAATGCCACATGAATAGATAGCTCATTGCAGGGAAGAACAGTCCTGTGCATTACAGAAGAGATCAAGATGGTCAGACTGCTATGAATCTGTGTCGTAATGTACTGTGTGATACAATGGGACACTGCAGAAAACCTACCTAATTTGAGATGGCTCCAGCATGAACGAATGAGTTCATTATAGCAAATCTTCTCAGCTAGATCTAGACATTCACTTCAACCGATTATGACGGAATAATTTCGCTTGCTGTGTACTTTCCAGAAAACCAACACGCTAGCTGTTTTCCAGACACTCGAGTCATTCGATTATGTCGGTATTGTCTCTCCTATTGTATACTTATCAGAAAAAGTGCTAACGGCTTCGAACCAAACATGTGCCCGGCACTGAGCGATGTAATCGGTCAAGCGAGGCACGAGAGGTTATTTGCCATTCGCTCCGAAGTGTGCAACCCAAGCCTTATTCAACCTCGTTTTTGCCCACGTTGGTATTATGCGCAAGTGCGTGTGCAGCTATATGCGCACACAATACATAAAGCATCCTTGGCGATAAAAGTACAAAGAAGCCGACGAGAGGTCGCTAAACCCCTCGTGTTTCGCATGATATAGCCATGAATAAAATAATACGGATGGCGGGCAGCACCGTTGGAACCAATCTTGCGTACTTTGCCAGGACATCCGCTATTTTACACTGCAGTATACTGATATAGACTACCCCGCAGTAACCAGCAATAATTTTTTATGGACATACCTGTGAGCGTGATAGCATTGGGATGCACCCACGTGGGGACGTAGTTTGTGCACCTGACGGCCAGCGGCTTCAAGAATGCACCGTAAAGAATGGATTCGTTCCTTCCACTATATAGGTGCCAAAAAAAAAAGAGCTTTTGTCAAAAAAAAATCATAAATTTCGATTTGAAATCATTTGTTTATAGTACAAACCAGGTGAACTTACATGTTGTGTATGGATGCCTGTGCTTTCATGTGAAGGCAAGATGATGGAAGTTTATAATTTTGTGGATCATCAAAAAGTGTTTAAAACATACAATGTTATTAAATGACTCATTTCTGAAAGCAATCGCGATAATACCAAAACATATGTGCGTTGGAGTATTTATCTGCATATGCGCATATTTTAATAGAGTATAGCTGAAACCATACTAACATGAACTTCATAATGTATGTAGCTTTGCATATATCCCAAATTCAAAACTTCGTTGCCAATTTGCAAGTACAACTACAGCAAGATGTACAAAAAACAATGATCCCGGCAAAACCTTACACTGATATGTGCATATTTTCAAAGATTTGTGGTACATGTATTTTTATATACGTAGGTCCACTTATGATTATATATATATATATATATATATATATATATATACTACACACACAACAACACACACACACACA